GCCAAGAAGAAAGCCAAGACCAACTCCAAGCCCAACGGCACCGCTGCCACAAAGACTAAAAAGGCAAAATAACCGGATTGGGTGCTCACAGACCTCTGGGATTGAGTTCTTGGGGGGCTTAATGAGGAATTTTAGACTAACAACAGTTGTGTGTTAGTGCTGCGTGTTAGTGCTGGGAAAGAACGGATTAGGCCGGCAGAGTGGAACAGCTTCTGGGCACAAACACGCCCAGATTTCAGAATTCCAAAGCTGAACACCTCCAGAGCAGACTCAGGACGAATTAGATTTCAGCCTGATCCCATCCCTCCCAGAAAAGGTAGATGCAAGCAGAACTGAGAAGGAGGCTTCAAGTAATGAGGTAAAATTCTCGCTTTAACGAGAGTTCATTAAGGTTTTTCCTTCCCTTTTTGTGGTCACTCCCCTTCTTCAAAACCCAGTTGTGGTCTCAATTCCAGCAATATCCTAGCCCGCTTTTAGTGCGTAATCCAAGGAAAGCTGAGCCCAGTTTTCAGCTCTCCCAAACTAAAATTTGCTTAGAAGTGCTTAAAAATAAAATTATTCATAATCCTAGAACTGCAGCCTCTTCAGTCCCTGAATTCCAGAGACATTTTTCCGTGTTGTACACACTTATAGGTCCCAGGGTGGGAATAAAAACCTTTTATTTCTTATTTTATTCTGTATTCTCTATAGTTTTTTGCTTGTCAGAGCCATGGGATGGGTTTTGTTTTCAGAATAAAATTTGAACACAAAGACACTATTTCTCTTTCTCTAGAGAAGTGGCTTAAACCGTATTTTTAAATGAAAATCTCAGTTTTAGAGGGAATTCCATACCAGCCGACAAATCAAATGCAGTCTGGAACACAAAGAATTTCAATTTTGAGCTCTTTGGATGCTTTGTAGGCTTCAAAAATCTGTGAGTCTGCCCTTTCCAGTTTGGAAAATAAGAAGCTGGCTTGTTTTGTGGGGAAATTAATATTTATTATGCATTAATCGTGCTAAAATTGGGATTTATGTTTCCTTGCTGTGGATTCTCTTACATGTTTCAATCCATAATGGGTTTTTCCCCAGAAGCTTTTAAACTTTGATCTCCAAGTATCTTCATAGGTACAGAAATGGTTTTGTGGTGGAGAGATAAAAAATTATTTAAAAATAATAATATCTGGAATAAGTCTGAGAAATTTACCAATTCTAAAAACTGATTTTCCACCACCCTCTCCCTAGCTGGTGCTTCGTGGTATTTCACTCCATCTTTCCTCCATTTCTCATTCCAAACAAAGATTCCCACTGCTTCTGACACTGATAATATTATTAATGAATTCCAGTTCCACTCTTTATCCTGGGAGCAAGTGCTGTGGGAAGCTAGGGGCCCAGCAGAGCCAGTCAGAGAGGGCACAGGGGATTTCGGGCTCTCAGGTGTGGGCAGTCTCCCCATGGGAAGACTGGAATACTTTTCCACCTTTTCCCCTTTTCCACCTCTTAGTTCTAATTAAATGAATTTTCAACTTCTTCATCCCAGTTTTCCATCTGGCTGGACCATTACCCATGTGTTGCCCACAGCATTCCCATCCTGAATCCAAACCCAATATGTGCCAGCTCTGGGAAGAAAGGAACCCTGTCCCAGTGGAGAGCAGAACAGTGGGAACTCTCAAATAGCTTTTGGGGAAACCCCAAATTTATCCAGCACAAAGAACACTACGGAGTGTGCCAGCTGCTGCCACAAGCTGCCTCCTGAGCCATGCCAGCCATCTCCTGAGAGCTTCCTTGTGTTCCCGTTCCCGCTGGAGCCTCTTGTCCAGCACTGCCCGGAGGGTTTTCTCCTGTGGCACTGCTGCAGTGTCCTGGCAGCCATGCATTGGGCACCAGCGGCTCAGGGACACTTGCTGCTGGGAATGCTTTGCATGAATGGCTTGGGCTCCCAGTTGTATTTCCAGGCTTTTCCTGGCCATGGGTATCTGGTGAGTTCTGTGGACAGCCACGGCTCCGAGGCAGCAGGGAGACCTGTCCATGTGGGCTTCTCCATCTGGAGTCCAGCAGATCTCATGGAGGCTCTGGCAGGGATGGAGACTTTTGCTATAAATATCCCAGGTGTGGAGATCTTCCTTAGACTTGTCCTTCACAGCCTGCTCCAGGGAGGATCCCTGACACGGGAACTGCTGTCTTTGCCGCCGGAGCCTCTTGTCCAGCAGTGTGCGGAGAGTCTGCCCAGATGGCTCTGCCGCAGGATCCTGGGAGCTGTGGGTTGGGCACCGGCGGCTCCAGGAAACTTCCACTTGCTTCTTGGCAGGAACAGGCCAGGTTCCAGTTGGAGCACAACACAGGTCACAGAGCGTCTGGATGGGAATGGAGGACCCTTTCCGAGGGATGGACATTCTTGAAAGGGTGGAGGATCTCAACCAGCGCTGGGCTTTGCGGAGGACTGAGCCTTTTCCAGCGGCAGATGTTTTCCAACGGATCAGGGCTCTCGTTGAGCGCTGGCACCTGGAGGGCTGGGGGCTCCCAGAGGAGCTGGAGGAGGCACAGCAGGGCAGCTGGCCTTGCTCCAGCAGCTGCTCCAGGTCCTCCCACAACAGCTGCCACATCTCCGAATCCCGCGGGAAGGACACCTGGGGCCACAGCGGCGTCACCAGGTCCTGCAGCTCCCGGGCCGCGGTCGCACAGGGGGTGCAGCAGGGGCCGCAGCCGCAGGGGATGTACAGGGGGCTCTCCGGGGCAGCCGGGCCGTGGCGAGGGGTCTCCTCAGCCGGGGGGGACCTGGGAGCCCCCGGGGCCGCTCGGCAGCGCCGCGTCCCCCTGGCCCGGCTCCCGAGGCGCTTCCGCGCCTTCCAGATGCGGGTGGCCAGCAGGACGGCCGTACTGGCCACCAGCAGGACAAGCGGGGGGAGCAGGAAACTCATGGCTTCATCCGTGTCCCATCGTGGCCATGCTGAGAGCCAGAGGGTGGTGTCAGTGTCCCGTGGAGACACCGTGCTGATGTCACAGAGCTGCGGGTGGGACACCTGTGTGACATCACAGCCCCGCCTCACCCCAGCGCTCATGGCCCCAGGGCACCCCACTGCTTCCAGGAGCAAGGGGCTCCATGTGGGCACTGGTGGCCCTCTGGAGCAGGCAAGTAGGACACAGTGATGAGGAGGAGGATGATGGTCTCACCTCCTGGCTGACAGAGCCAGGGACATGGATTGTCCCATGGGACACTGCAAAGTGCTGGAGGAGGAAAAGCTCTTCTCAGTAACCACCAAACCGCCTCTGTGTTAGTCACAGCATTCCTATCCTGAATCCAAACCTAGGGCTGTGCCACACACTCTGAGGAAAATGAACCCTGTGAATCCTACTAAAGCAAACAACCAAACCACTGAGGCGGAGCAGCGTGTTTTCCATGGAGCATGATGGTGATGGAGGGGATTTAGCAGGGGAAAGAGGGGCAGACTGGATACCTGGGACATCCCATGCAGCACAGGGCAGGAATGTCATCTCCAGTGGAGCAGCTGATACCGTACACTTGCTGTGGCACTGCTGCATGGTGCCAGCTTATCTGTGTGGCCATGGAAGGACCTGGAGAGTGGCACTGTCACCATGGGTTGAGTCAGACAGGATGCTCCAGTGACTGGTTTGATGTCTGGGGTAAGACCGCATGTACTGGAGATGATGAAGGTGGTGGATGTTGGTTTTTGGGCTGTTGGGAAGACTTTGGATCCCGTCCTGCCCAGCTCCTTCTGGAGACAGTGTCTGTGGAATCGTAGAATGGTTTGGGTGGTATTGGGGAAGATGTAATGGGAAAGCCTTATAAATATGATTGCCTGGCAAAGGATATGGAAAATACAGAGACTGTGAGTGAAACTGAGATGAGAATAAGCTATGAAATTTCAGACCTTGTTTGCTAAGCAACTGGTGAACAGTGGTGTAGCTAGTGGAAGGTAACTCCCTTTTTTGACCTACAGACAGATCCAAGGGTCAGATTGTTGTGGAAGATGAAATGGGAAAGCCTTGTAAATATGATTGCCTGGCAAAAGATTTAGAAAATACAGAGCTTGAGATGGTAAAATGTTCTGTCTCGTCCCTCAGACATGTATAGTTTTTCCCACATCTGTAAGTATCATGTATCACTAATCCCATTGGTCCAAAGTCTTATTCTGCATCCACTCTGAAGCCCCCTTCATAAGGTGCTCCCGGGAGACCAGGGGCCTTTCTCCTTCCCCTTCTCCTTGCCTCTCTCCTTCCCCTTCTCTCTGCCCTCTTGGACCCCCTCTTGGTATCCTCTCCCTGCCCCCATTCCTTGGGGCTGTCTTTGAGCTGTGGCTGGCAGCTCCAAGCAGGGCCCCACAATAAACTGTGTATCCTAAATCTGATTTCAGAGATCTCTCGTCTCCATCCATCCTGACCGTCCTGTGGACCAGCCCTCGCTACAGGGTGAGAAAGGTCCAGCTGGGAGCAGATCCAGGATGAAGGTCTGACTGGACAAGGTCCAGGGGGTTTAGGGAATGGGGCTGGCTGGGAGAGCAGCTGGGACCCAGCTGGGAGGTGCTGGTGACTCCTGGCCAAAGATGGAGTCACAGAATTGGGACTAGAATCAGCTGCAACCCCAGGCCACCACCTGCAGATTTCCGGGGAGAAATGCAACTGGTGGCCTGAGGCTGATGCCAATTGGGATTGTAATAATCAATTGGAAATAATTGCATCTGATTAATGCCATGAGAGTTTGTGTGGGGATCAGAATAGGTTGAACTGAAGCACAGCAATGTGGCTGGAGGAACAAGCCTGTGGCTGCTGGGGAAAGGCTTTGTTGATATCCAAGAGGGAATTGACTCCATGAAGTTTTGGTAAGGCTGTGCTTGTGTGTGGTGCTGGGGAAGAGAAGGGGAGGAGCTGAGCTCATGGAATTAAGCAGGAGGAAGACAAAAGGGATGTGAGCTGTATTTTCTTCCTGAGACACACACACACACAGAGGGACATGCTGGAATGGCACTTTATTGCTCCATGGAGGGGTGCAGGGTGTCTTGGTGGCGTCAGTAGGTGCTGAAGATGGCCTGGATGTGCTCCCAGTTTTTCGGCTTGTAGGTGCCAACCCCTGCAGCAGAGGAATGTGTGAGGCTGGGACATGGAGACCCCCAAGTGCAGCTCCTTGTGCCCCACACCCCCCCACCTCCTGGGTGCCTACCTTCCTGGAGGGGACTCCAGCAGCTGAAGAACTGCCAGTAGGTCCTTTCAGTTTCGTTGCCAGCCAGCCCGTGGATGGAGGTCACAAAGGGACCCCAGGATGTGTGCTTCGTCTTGAAGCTGCCATCAAAGGGAGAGGGCTCAGAGCTGGGTGGGGGCTACAAACACCTCCCCTTCTCTCCCATCCTCTGGCTCTCACCAAAAGATATCGCGTTTCTCATTCCTTGCTGTCTGCATCACCTGGAGCAGCGTGGAGTTATCTGGGACACACACTGAGATGGAGTAGTGGAAGTAATTCTTCAGCGTGTTGGTGATGGAGAACTGCACTGTGATGGCAGCTGTGGGTGGGGAGAGGGGCAGGGTGGATACATGGCACTCCCCAGCTGGCATAGGGCAGGAGTGTCATCCCCACGGTGTCAGCTCCAGGTTGGAACCCGACTGTCCCCAGCACCGGAGACAGGGGCAGCTGTTGGCTTGGTGACCTTCCTTTGGTGGCAGTGCAGCCCCACCTACCTGCGTTCAGGTACGACTTGCCCACGATGGGAGGCAGCACCTGGGCTATGGCCATGGGCTGTTCGTACTCGTGGCTGTACACCACACGGAAGGCCTGGGCACGGTCCCACTTCCGAGGGGCGTAAAACTCACTCGAGGTCTCCAGAGCCTGCGGAAGTGGTGGAACATGGCACAAGCAGCCTGGGAGTGGAACTGTGACCCCAGAGCCCCTGTCCATACCTGCAGGGCCAGGCCCATGCTGTCGATATTCCCGATGATGCCACCCCGCCTTTCTTGCTCATCTAGAAAATCGTCGGTCACCACCTTTACTGCGTCATGGATCAGCTCCTGCTTGTCTGTGTGCTTGTAGGCGCACACCAGTGCCAGTACCGCCATGGCCCGGGTGTCTGTGGGACCCTGGTGTCACTGCCAGTGCCCCGGAGACACCTCTGGGAGAGGAGGGGCACAGTGGGGCTGGAGGGTTCCCTTACCCACATCAGGGGAGCTCTTATGGTTCAGCAACTCTTTGGCCACAGCCTCGACACCATCTTGGTTATCATACGCCTTCACCAGGCATAGGGCCAGGATGTCCAGGCTCTCTGTGTACCAGGTGATCACTGCAAGGCAAAGAGGGGTGAGCTGATGGTGTGCAGCGAGGGTGGAACCCCCCAGTCTCCCCAGTCCTTCCCTCACACCCCTGTATACCTTTTTTGCTTATCTCCTCATTCATTTTCTGCTTTAGGATGGGGATCAGGTTGATGGTCTTCCCCATGGCGTGGACGCACCGGGGGTCCTGGCAGGAGGAGAGGAGAGCGAGGATGTACAGAGCCACTTGTCCCGAGGTCATGTCTGTGGGGACAAGAGGACAGAGTGGTGGGATGGGATGTAGCATCCTGAGAGCTGGTGGTGCCAAGCCTGCAGTACGGGGTCTGCTGGGATCAGGTGCACCCCCTCCCTTGCCCTGGGTTCTCCTCTTCTCCCTTTCCCACCTGTCTGGGCTCTCTCCACTGCATCCTTCTTTATCTCCTGGAGCAGCCAGTTGTGGACATGGTTGTGGGTGGCTCCAGCCAGGTTCATGGCCAGAAGGATGCTGGGGTTTGGTGGCTTGTCAAACTTGACAGATTTCTCCATGCGCTGCAGCAGCTTCTGGACCAGGTGGTCGTGGGCGACTGTAGCCTGGCACCCCTCTGCCACTGAGGGCAGCTCATCAGGAGCCCTGTCTGTCATCCACTCGTCCCCCAGCAGTGTCACCGGCCTCTCTGCGGTGCCGCTGCAGGAGGACTGACACTCACTACAGCCCTGCGTGACCGTGGCGCTTGCCAGGGCCAGCAGGACCCCGATGTTGTAAGCCATGCTGGGCATCCTCTGTCTTCAGGAGAGCTGATCCAGTCAGGGCAGCAGACTCCCACAGGCACTTATCTCTCCAGCTGTGCCCTCTGCTTTTATCTGCTCCTGGTGCCTTCCTGTGGTCACCTGCCCACCCACACTTGCTGTGGCATTGCTACATGGTGCCAGCTTATCTGTGTGGTCACGAAAGGAACTGGAGGGTGGCACTGTCACCACGGATTGAGTCAGACAGGATGCCCCTGTGTGACAGGTTTGATGACTGGGATAAGACCACATGTCCTGGAGATGATGAAGGTGGTGGATGTTGGTTTTTGGGCTGTTGGAAAGACTTTGGATCCTATCCCTCCCAGCTCCTTCTGGAGACACTGTCTGTGGAATCATACAATGGTTTGGGTGGGAAGGGTCCAGCTGGGAGCAGATCCAGGCTGAAGGTCTGACTGGGTTTAGGGAATGGGGCTGGCTGGGAGAGCAGTTGGGATCCAGCTGGGAGGTGCTGGTGACTCCTGGCCAGAGATGGAGTCACAGAATCGGGACTAGAATCAACTACAACCCCAGGCCACCACCTGCAGATTTCCGGGGAGAAATGCAACTGGTGGCCTGAGGCTGATGCTAATTGGGATTGTAATAATCAATTGGAAATAATTGCATCTGATTAATGCCATGAGAGTTTGTGTGGGGATCAGAACAGGTTGAACTGAAGCACAGCAATGTGGCTGGAGGAACAAGCCTGTGGCTGCTGGGGAAAGGCTTTGTTGATATCCAAGAGGGAATTGACTCCATGAAGTTTTGGTAAGGCTGTGCTTGTGTGTGGTGCTGGGGAAGAGAAGGGGAGGAGCTGAGCTCATGGAATTAAGCAGGAGGAAGACAAAAGGGATGTGAGCTGTATTTTCTTCCTGAGACACACACACACACAGAGGGACATGCTGGAATAGCACTTTATTGCTCCACAGAGGGGTGCAGGGTGTCTTGGTGGCATCAGTAGATGCTGAAGATGGCCTCGATGTGCTCCCCATTGTGTGGTTTGTAGGTGCCAACCCCTGCAGCAGAGGGATGTGTGAGGCTGGGACATGGAGACCCCCACCACAGACTCCCCTGCACCATCCCTGGCCCCCTCCCCAACCTTCATCGAGGGCATCCCCAGCACTGAGGAACTGCCAGTAGGTCCTGTCCTCCATGCTGCTAGCCAGCCCATGGATGGAGGTCACATAGAGACCCCAGGATGTCTGCTCCATCTGGAAGCTGCGGGAGAGATGAGGAGGCTCAGGCCTGGCTGGGGAAAATGCCAAATCCCACCTCCACAGCCACCCTGCCTCTCACCTAAAGGTTTGGGGGTTCTCCTCTGCTGCCACCTCCATCACCTGGAGCAGAGTGGAGCCACTTGGGACTGTCACTGAGGTGGAGTAGTGGAAGTGTTTTCCCTGGAGCATGTTGGTGATGGAGTAATGCACCTGGATGAGGTCTGTGCAGGGAGAAAGCGGCAGGGTGGGCACCTGGCACACCCTCAGCAGGCACAGCATGGGAAATCATCCCTCTGGGGTCTGGGCAACTCCAGGTGGGATCAGCATACCTCTGGGAATGCCATATGTCCCCAGCATGGGAGACAGGGACAACTGTTGGCCTGGGGACATATTCTTGGTGACAGCACAGTCCAGGCCAGCCACATCCAGGTAGGACCTGCCCACCAGGGCTGGCAGCACCTGGGCGATGGCCATGGGCTGCTGGTAGTCGTGGGCGTACACCACGGAGAAGGCCTGGGCACAGTCCCACTTCCGTGGGGCGTAAAACTTCCTTGTGGCCTCCAGTGCCTGTGGAGCGGGTGGGACATGGAATGACACATCTTGGAATGGGACCAGTTGGCCGTGATGCCACACTTCCCTGGCACCTCCCCTACCTGCAGGGCCAGCCCCATGCTGTTGATATTCCCGATCATGCCATTCCTCTTCTCCTGCTCATCCAGAAAGCTGTTGCTCACTGTCCAAAGTGCCTCCCGGAGCAGATCCTGCACATCCTGGAGCTCCACATAGTTGTAGACGCAGGCCAGCGCCAGTGCCACCATGGCCTGGGTGTCTGTGGGATCCTGGAGTCACTGCCAAGGCTCAGGATAGACCCCAGGAGTGGGACTGTGGGAGCAGATGAGTTCCTCACCCACTGAGATGTGGCTCTCGGGGCTCAGCACCTGCTTGGCCAGGGCCACCGATGGCCCCTGAGCACCACCTGCCTCAGCCAGGCACAGGGCCAGGGTGTCCAGGCCCACATTGTACAGGGTAGTTTTGGGAATCCCCTCGGCCTCTGAAAGCAAAGATTGGCAAGATGACAAGGCGTGGGAACAGTGACACCCCCAGGCCCCCAAGTCCCAACAAACCCAGTTTGGCCATCTCCTCATCCGTTTTCTGCTGCAGGACACGGATCAGGTCGAGGGTCTGCTCCAGGGCATGGACACTCTGGGGATCCTGGCAGGAGGAGAGGAGGGCAAGGACGTGCAGAGCCACCTGTCCCGAGGTCATGTCTGTGGGGACAAGGGGGCAGTCAGGCTGTGCTGGGCTGGGCACCCCAAGAACTGGTGGAAACCTGGTCCCTCAGGAGCTGGTGCCTTCCCTCCTTTCCCTCCCTACCTTTCTGGGCTCTCCTCACCGCCTCCTCCTTGATCTCCTGGAGCAGCCACTTGTGGACAGGACCGTCACTGTCCCCTCCAGCCAGGTTCATGGCCATCAGGATACTGGGATTTGCCGCCTCCTCGAGATTTACAGATCCCTCCAAGCGCTGGAGCAGCTGGGAGACCATATCCTGCGGGGCCACTGGAAGGAGAGGGGAGATCAGCGGGATCCTGTGTCCCATCCGTGCTCTCTCCTGGTTCTCCACTGACAGCTGACACTCACCACAGGTCTCGGTGGCTGTGCAGCCCACCAGGGCCAGCAGGACCCCAATGCCCAGAGCCACACCAAGCATCCTTCTGGAGCCAGCTGACCCACTCAGGGTGGCAGAGTCCTGTGGAATTCGGCTCTCTGGGTGTCCTCTCTGCTTTTAGCTGTTCCCAGTGTCCTTGTCCCGTCACCTGCCTTCCCACAGCCGCCCTGGGTCTGCCAGGCACCGCTGGCTTATCTGTGTGTACAGTGGGGGAGGGAGGGTGGTGATTTTCCATTTGAGATCAACTGGGGACCACTTGGACCACTTCAGTATCCACGAGGCTGTGATGTTGTTCGGGATTCATCCCAGTATGTCCCAGAAGGCACCACCTCAATCTTCCACCCAAGGTCCTGGAAGCCTGAGGAACTCCACTACTGGCTGGGCATTCTCCAGCTGTATCCCACTTGGACTTTTCCAGGAAACTCCAGCCCTGATGATCTAACTATAGTACCAAGAAAAATGTTGGAGAAGATCATATTGGACCCTGCTAGGAAAACAATTCAAGGGCAGTGCCTGCGTCAGGCACAGGCAGCTCAGGATAATGGAGAGAAATTCCTGTCTAACTGGTTTCTTATCCTGCTGCCATAAGGTCTCCCAGCTCAGAGGTGATGGGAAGGCAAAGCCTGTTCATTTTTGGGATTGTAGTAGGAGTTTTGTCTCTGTCCTTCACAGAATCCTTCTGGAAGTGTCCAGCTTTGAGATGAGCAGGGACAGGGTGTGCTGGCTGCTGTGCTGGATTTAACTGGGATAGGGAACTTTACTGGATTTGGATTCAGAATGGTAATGGTGCAGATAACACCCAGGAGGTTTGGTGGTTGCTGTGTGGGGTTTGCCCTCCTCAAGCACTTTGCAGCATCCCGTGGGACAATCTAGGACAAGGCACCATCCTCAGGGACATTCCCTATGCCTTTTATGGGCAGGGAGGAAAAAAGGAGTCTGGAGGGTGATGGTGTGACTTGGCACAGCCCATTGCGGTGGAAGACAAGGTGAGTGAGGGATGAGCCCGAGTGAGATCCCTCCAAAAAAGGGATGTTACAGCCACAAAATGCCTGAAAATTCATGAGGGGTTTGTGTATAAAATACTGAAAACTGCAAATATTCCCATTTTTGTATATTCTGAGAAATTTTAATGCATTTAAAAACCAATTCCGAATTAAAACCTCATGTCTGCTGTGTTATAGACAGGATATACACTGTAAGGAATTGTGATTACGGAGCTAGAGGGTTTGAAAATACAAATTTATTTCTCTATGCGGGGCCAAGGCCGGGGCTGCTCCCGGAAAGAAACACCGGAGTGCAGGCACGGAGCCGGGAGCGGCAGTGGCGGAGCTCGGGGAACAGCGGGGCCGGACCGGGGGCACCGGGAGCGGCGGCGCCGGGGTCGGAGGTGAGCGGGGAACGGGAAGAACCCTGAGCGGGCAGCGGGGACCTCGCGGGTCGGTGTCCCGGCACAGGATGGGTGTCCCGGCATAGGGATCGCTGTCCCGGCACAGGGATCGCTGTCCCGGCACAGGGATCGCTGTCTCGGCACAGGGATGGGTGTCCTGGCACAGAGATCGCTGTCGCGGCACAGGGATGGGTGTCCCGGCACAGGGATGGGTGTCCCGGCACAGGGATGGGTGTCCTGGCACAGAGATCGCTGTCCCGGCACAGGGATGGCTGTCCCGGCACAGGGATGGCTGTCCCGGCACAGGGATGGGTGTCC